CTCTCTCTCTCTATCTTTCTCTCTCTCTCTCTCTCCCTCTCTCGCTCGCTCCAGCTGGCTTCTCCCTCCTCGCTCTCTCCCACTACGTGTCCTTTCTCTCTCTCTCTCTTGCTCCCTCTGCGCCGCCCACTCCTCGCCGTTGCCCGTGCCGTGCGCGGACTATCCACTGTGTTTATTCCTCGCTTCGCCACAGGCCTCCCCGACTTCGAGCACAGTTCCGATGCGATTGCGCATTGATAGATGCGCCCAGTCGTCGAGAGGGCCCCGCTTCGTGTCGCGGTGCCCCCACTAGCCCCTAGCACCCCTCTCCTCCTAGTGATCGCCGTTCGCCAATCAGCTCTCACCAGCCGGTGTACTACGATGGGCTGGGTGAGGATGCGATAGAAAAGTAGCGCGACTCGCGCAGGGTCGGTTTCCGGCAGGGCGCTTTAAGGTGACAGGAGCCAACGTGTGACACGTGATAAACTTGACCGCTCCGACTGGCCTCGCAGTTTTCGAGGACGAACGAACGAGGAGAGAGAGTCTTGATTTTTCCTTTTTTTTTTCCTTTCCGTCAGCCCGTTTAATAGAATTTATCGGCGAATTTTATATTATTTTTAGAAAAGAAATTAAACTTGACAATCCTTTTTCCTTGAAATGCGGCGCGAGAGGACACCGGGACATTTAGGAAGGATAGGACGAGCGTCAAGTAAATTAAGGAGGCGAATACTCGTCTAACCCCTAAGAATTTTTTACCGGTTAATCATCCGACGAACAATGGAGCGGATAACGGAAAGCATCTTCATGGTGGATTACGTTTTGCCTCTTTGCGCCACAGTAAGCGGACGAGCTTTGTGCAATTACTACGGGGTGTACGAGTCGTAAACTTCGTTCGCCACGCGCGTTATTAATAAGTACGTTGTAATGAGACGCGCGAACTTTGGTGATTCCGACAGAGTCACGGTTACAAACTCCGTATAATGAAGAGGCGGGAAATGATTATAACATAGTTAAAACTCGCAGATCATTGTTATTACGAAATGTTTGGAAAATTGCGGGTGAGGAAGGTATACACGGCGTTTAAATTAAACTTTCATACTAATAGACACACAAAAACTCGTTGCAATGAAAAGGACTAGAGAAATTGTGTTGCGCTCGACAAGATTGTCGTATCTCAATAAAATTTGCAGTAAAGTGTAATTATTTAAGGAGACTTTTAAAAATATTACTTTTTACAATACTAAGAGCCATTTTTCTATATTTGAAGGAAAGGACATTTTTGCAGAGTTAACAAAAAGAAATATATATGCGTTTTAACTAACTTAATTGATAGGAGCGATATTTAAAATAGGAATATCTTTCTATATTATTTGCTATAGATATCATAAGATACATTAATTTATTTACGGAATAAATTTTCCTCCACGTATGTGATGTGTGTATATATGAAATTATAAAACAATGTAGGTATTTTCGATATTTTTTTAAGAATTTTTAAATTAATCCCAAAGAATGTATTTAATATATAATTTTTATAATATTTAAATATGTTCTTAAAAAGATTTATCGATCCATGAATTCAAGTTTAATTGAAGTAGAAACGAATTTCGAAAAAAAACATTAACTGATAAAGGTATATTATGAAATTGTGGTGAAAAGATCCCATTTCGTGAGTTTCATAGAGCCGAGGGTGCGTCATGCGAAACTGCGCATCCGCGCGCGCCTGCGCGGACGCGCCGCGACGAGTACCAAGCGAGATCAGCCGCCTTTTAATCGCAAATCGCACTGGGCGTCCCGGCCACGCACGCTCCTCTCGTTTCTTCGTTTCGTGCGCGTCTCGCCGAGATATATCCCGCGACGCAACGCGTTCCAGCTGCTTGCCGAGAAGAAGTACAAACACCTCAGTTTTCAGCCCTCGAACTCCGCTTCGTCGACTCTGTATCGGCGGAAACGAGCTCCAGGAACTGCGCGACCGACACCTAACCCCGTCGTAAATTTCGTCTCGCGACTCCAGATTTCTTCCTTCGAAAATATTCGCGTTTCAGGGAACAAGATCTCGAGAGACCGAGATCTTGTCGCCATTTTTTCGCGCGACGTAACGGGAATGAGTGTTGGACGGCGGACGACGCCGCGTGCTGTTGATGCTGCTGCTTTTACATAATGGCCATGTTTGAAGTTTATATTGCCGTCGTGGCGCTTCTCTTTACGCGACGTAAGCTCTGCGCTTGATCACGTACGCACGATTCACTTCGCGAGCCTGAGAGAATATCCACGGCAGCTGTGTGACGTCAACGATTTCGGAGCAGCGTATGACGAAAAGGCGATATCGTCGCAATTTCCAATTTTCCCGAATCCCTCCGTAAACTCTTCACTTCTTTCTTGTCTCTCAGGCGTTAAATTATTCGAGTTCGTTTCCCGAGTTCAAATTTCGCGTAAATCGAGAGCCGAAATCATCTCCGCTCTCGAAAATGGAAATTGGAATACTTTGCAAAAATTCAACTCGTCATCATTTTATATGAATTTCAGTCTATGATTTTTCTACAAATTGTTAACGTATCGTAATGTCTCTTAATTGTAAATGATATCGCAATCTAAATGTGCACATATATAATATTCGCAAATCTATTTCTGTCGGCTGCATTACTATTAGCCGATTCGCATCATCGCTTACAATAAAGAATCTCTTGGATGCACAGATAACGGACGCATGACATTTCAAAGTTCCGAGAGAAATAATCAGCCAGCTCAGATCGCAATATACGCTTATTACGAACCGTGGATGTAAGAAATAACAGGATTGACTATGTGTATGTGTAATCCGTGTACGAAATAGAAAACAAGTATTTAGGGAGAGAAAGAAGGAGAGAGGGGGGGGGGGGACAGACGTTAAGGATACATCGTTTTATTGTTACGAAAAACGCGCGAAGTCTGTAGTTTAATGCGACGCATTTAAAGTACTCCTAAAAATGAAAATCAAAAATGAACGAGAAACATCGCTTCATCACTTCGTGAAATTGCCTGGGGACCATCGAGTGTTGTAAAAACATCGAGACGCAAGGAAGCATTTGCGAAAAACGAAGTCAAAAGTCAATGGCCGATTTATCTCACTTTTTATCTCTCTTTTTCAGAACACAACTCGTATGCGTTATTGCTTTTGTAGTTGTAAAACGATCATTTGTAAAAATGAAATTCGATAGTGATAGTAGGTTCTCTTATCATAATATCGCAGTTTTATAAGTCTTACAAGATATTCTTTTCGTCATTTCGAGTAAATTTGACAATACACTTACATACGCAAACACACGTACGCATATGTACGTAAAAAGTAACTCGATCATTTATAAAATGTCTATTTATGAACACAAAAAATTGACGATGTAATAAAACGCAAACTGATTGGCTAGCCAATGTTATTGATGTGACTTGTGATGCATCAAATATGCGTTATATATTTGGTAACAAATAAAATTAAATTCGCATAAACAAAGAAAGGTAATTAATTATATTTTTATACTAATAAGAAATACATTTTTATTAAAATATATTCATAAAATGCCCATACATTACACTATTGTCGAATATAAAAATATATTGCTTATAATTTTTGACAGTTTCGAAAAAAATATTTAGCGTTTGCTACTAAATATTAAATTGCGCACGTTTTTTGTATTTGACAATATACCTCATTTTAATATGTGATGTTTGTGCTACAAATATGCGCGTTAAATCAGTTATTATTACCAATTATTTCTTATATTCATGCTGCAAACCTCAATGAAACGCATGCGCTAGATAATGTCATGAGTAATTTTACGTCAGGATTGTATATATGAAATGGGAAAGAAAAGAGAGCATTTGGAAAAAAATACTTTCGTAAAAATCTTGCAAACGCATTACATTAATTTCGTAAAAGTCTTGCAAACACATTACATTAATTAATGATTTTTAACAAAAAGTAGCTTCACTGATCGTTGCGTACAAAATAAGTTTTTTTTTTAATTTTGTTGAGGCAAAAATTAAATTTATGGAAGAGGAAAAAATTAATTAATGCACATATATGCCATTTTATGAATTAGAAAGGACAGTTTCTTTTATATATTATTTTTCAATATGTATATAGTTATTGCGTATGATTATATTAGTTCTAAACTATTTATATCACGCACTATAAAAAAATTTGTTAATTTTTAATACTTGATATCAATTTTTCTTGACAAAATTTATTCCTTTTTATATTATTCATATTTTAATATCGCTATAATTATTTACTCTTTGGATTCTTATCAACTATTTAGCTATTTAATTCATTCTGTCCGATAACTGTCCTCGTTTCTTGTTCTATAACTTTCTACTTTTAATTTACGGGAATTTAAGTTGTAATTTCGGAAATAAATCAAATGTTCAAAATTAAAAACTTGTTTGCATTTTTCTTTTATTTATTTCTCGCATCGCGAGAATATATTTTTTCCATGTGTTGCTTTCTCATACTGTATATAACTCGGATATATATATATACTAAAAAAAATGATCTTGTAATCATAGCAACAATTTTCTAAATGTAAAAATTAATTAAAGTAGATAAAGAATTATGCAAATATTATGATATTACATGTGTTTTGCAGTTAATTAATAGAAATGAAAGGCAAAATTCATATTTTAATTGCTAGTGAAATTTAGAAAGTCTCTATGGTACCTTTTTAGTCATATTAAGGCTAATTGCACTTGTTATAAAGTATGATAGCACACAGAAAAATCGTTTCTCAAAAACTATAGTATCCAAACTTATATTTATTCAATGCAGTGATTTGATAACGAGACCTAAATTTGCCAGAAGTCATTAATAAAACCTGCTATAAATTCCATATGTTACAATCTTTTAACAGATACAAAATAGTGATGAATATTTGTTGTAATATCGAAAAATTTACTTACATCAGAAAATTTTTTTGAGTATGAGATATAAAGCGACAAGTTTGAAAGGACAATGTTTCGGGGATCAGGTATTATCTATCGATAGGCGCTGTTCTGTAATCTCTTTATTTGCGTAATTTGTATGGTGTCGTAAATCGCGATTTGCAGGACACGTATGTGACAACTAACGGCTGATACATTCGAATCGTATGGACGAATACTTAATAAATTATAAACTGGTGATTATCAAGTTACAAGTAAAATTTCTATTAGCCTTTTTCAGCTCAATGGGAAGATACTTCCCAGCCGAGAAAAGACTTTAGTATACATGTTCAGATATATTTCAATCGAGATCTATAAAGATGTGCTATGCACATCTCTGATGTATTTATATAGTGTGCAAAAAGTAGAGAAAAGTGCAACATTATCTTATAATACTAGATTGGCATGCTTATACTTCGTTATTCGTTGTATAAGAATCACAAGGGCGAGTGCGAATTTCAAAGACACTGTTTCTTGCTAAGTGAGTTGTAAGAAATACGAATTCTTTAAAATAGGATATTCTTATTAGTTTTGGATAAACTAAGAAAATACATTCATACTCTCGTTGCTCACAATTCATACAATAATTAAATGTACTGGCAATGTATATAATAAATCATTACTACATGTTCTTCTAAAATTGTCTCTTGCATTTTATACTATTAACTATTAAAATTATTTACCACATGTATTAATTGCGACTCTTAAAAAAAGAGTAGATTCAAGAAAGAATTAATTCATTTTTCAGTGTAAGTATCATTTTACAATGATTTGTATATAAAATTGAAAATGACAATATATTAAAAATGTAAGAAAAATATCAAATTTTTCAATAAAGGATAATAGTAGCATTTAACAAAATAGACAATGATCTGATCATAGCCAGCTATATTATTTTTATATGTTTGGCATCGGGACTTTATTGCATCTCTTAACTTAAACTATTCAAGAATTCAATATCCTGAATCAATTATCAATACTTACTACGATTTTCCTTTACGGAATCGCTGTCGCGCTTGTGCTTTGCTGTACTTTGGGTGTTTTTCCTTCTCGTTATTTTTCTCTATATCGATATTTTCCAAATCTTCCTTTTCCTCAGGGAAGAGATCGACAGGTGGTTCTAATAATGATTTTCTTTGGCATTTTACAAAATAACGAAATCCTTTTGCAATGCCAAAACCAAGCATGGCTATAGATATCGTTAATAACGCCATCAGTAAAGGATGCTGCAACAGAATACAGAATGATATTTCCAACAAAAATAATTTAATGTTGATCATTTATTCTTGCATAATAATGGTTTCAAAATACAAATTATGAATAAGAAAGTACCGTTAGAGTGGGCTTGTTTGTAAAAACATAATCGGCAATCACAACTATAACTCCTAATATAATGCCGACACCAGCTCCAAGCCACGGGATTTGTTGATCAGCTGTGAAACAATATTTTATTATGTTTCATATTTTTATAATTCCAATAAATGTGCATTATGTACCTCTTCTATCCTTAATTAATGATCTAGATGCTCTATTCATTGCTTCTAAAATTTTAGGTTCGTTTGGTTGCAAGGACAGGGCTTTGTTGTAAGATTGAAGTGCCTCACTAAAACGGAATGTTCTTAGTTCGACCTCACCCTTTCTGAAATAACCCTAAGGAACATAGAAATATATTTTGATAATTTCAATGTGTTTTCCCTCCGCTGTAAAGATAAATTTAAAGAAGTTAAATCAGATTTTAGATTTTTAAGTAATTGATCTCTTATTTGTTATATCGAGTTTAATTTATTATAGAATATGCATTTTATGTACTTTAGACCAGTCAGACTTCAATTGGATAGTCATCAGGGCATCCTCCATAGCATAGTGATATTGTCTCATCATTAGAAAGGCAAAGGATCTGTTACTGTGGAGAGAATAATTCTGCGGATCCAATTTGATGGCGTGTGTATAATGAAACATTGCCTCCTCATATTTCTGTTCCTTGACACATGCATTTCCCTGTTGCTTGAGATTGTCAACCTAAATGAATAGAAAAATGCTCTATAAATTTTCCTCTTATAAATTACATCAGTATTTAGAGGTTAAAATGGGATTAATTTGTTCTCGTTTTGCGAAATATATAACTAATATAGAGGACATTATGTAATAATGCGTTCGATTTCTCACAAAGTCTTATCTATCTAATGCAATGTTAAAATACGATTGTAAAAATTTCAATACAAACTCACCTCTATTTCTCGCGCGTTCATCGTTTTCGTTTTCCGCGTATCTGTTTGAGAAATAACTCTCTCTTATGGAGAAATAACGATGAATCGTTTGATCATTCTTCTTTAAATCATTGTCGCAATATTTTCTCGGATTGAATATAATCGACAATGAAACGCAGATGAACACCTGTCATGTCCACCAACCGGTGCGGCAAGCGCGCGCGCGCGTGCACGCTGCATGTGTTTTCTATTCGCACGATATGTATCATTGTAGGAGATGATCATATCATATATATAGCAGAGAGAAACCTGAGAGCGGCCACCAGCCTCGACGGGTACATTTCTCGATGCTTGACGCACCGTCTGACAAAGTGGACGTGAACTATGTCCATTACGCTCGGTAACGAAACATGGTTTGTGTCTATGATATGGGTTCATGTCCGAACTATTCAGAGATGGACAGTCGGATAAGAATCGATAATTCATCGTTCTGTTTTTGTCTCATCAATGACAGACCACGCGACTGCCACGCGACGAGCTTACGATTTTGCTTTTCTCTTTCACTCGTCGCGCTTTCACGTTCTTCGTTATGATGTAATAACGAAATGATCTTCACATAATCCTAATTTTTTAAGGGTATTGGCAGACAAGTTTTCCAACTTTGTATGTCCTGTAACAAAAATACAACACATTATGAAAATTACGATTACATGCTTACTTCAAGCTGCCATAGCAATTGGTATACCGAATGTTTGGTAAAAAAAAATTTTTTTATGTCAGGCGTGTTGGTTATGATCAATTCGATAAAGTGCTCCTTCATAATAGCGCATAGCAGTGCAAGTAAGATGACTGCTTGTCACGGCGCTGACCCGAGTTCGAATCTCCCTGCTGTCGTTTTTTTTATTTTTATTTTATGAAATAATAAACTAACAAATAATATGTATTGAATTTGGGAGCAGAAAAGGCAAAAAATTAATAAAATAATGACAATTATTGCACAAAAACATACTTGTATTGCCTATCCATGTATTGCATCTTGTATCCTTCTGCATTGGAAATCGGAATAGCCGTTTCCTATGCGAAAATCTCCCATTCTTACATTATTTACTTTATTTCTATACACGCACTTATCATAATAACTATCTATAAAGCACTGACTCGACATAGTGATTGTTTATTATAATGCAAAACAAAAAAATATAAAAATAAAATTAAAAAAACTTAAAAATAGAAATAAAAAAGAAATACAACACGTGATAAAAAAATACAAAAATTACACAACCAACACAATAAAAGCATATACGCACGTACGTGTACACGCAGAAATATTTACAAATAATGTGTCGTGTTATATAAAAGAAACGATAATACGTGTTGCAAAATACACAGATCTTACAGATCGTTAAAGAAATATAAATTTAAAACAATAGAAGAGATCTGTTATGCACAGATAATGAAGTACCGCAGACAAATCACGACAGTGAAACGTAATTCTTTTATATATTAATAAAAGATTAAAGAATCTGTTTATTGTTAATGTAAAGTTATTTTGTATATCATCATACAAAGAATTATAGTTTCACAAACTGATTTATCTATTTTTTTATTATTATTTTCAAAATTAAATATAATTACATAAAAAATGATTACATAAAATTAATCATCCGAATTATCGATCTCATCAAGACATGAGCCAGGATGATATTTATCATAAAAACATGAAAAATATAATGTAATACAATATCTAGCGCATTAGATGCTGTATTGTGCCGTATATGTGTGAGCAATCTTATTAAAACTTTATTTTTTTACAAGAAAATTATTCACATCATTCGATACACTAGATGTTATATTACATTATGTTTTTCATGTCTAACACTAACACGCAAATGCATCAAAGTAAGATATCATTCGCATTGATATGTATATTTTTTTAATTAATTAATTATTTAAAAAATATATAAAATAAAATATTACTATAATAATATGAGAGTTGTAAGCATTTATGAAATACAGATATAATTATTTTAAATAAAAAGAAAAGGTTTTATTAAAAAACATTTTTAATAAATGTCTTTATAATAAATAAATAAATTTGTCTCTATATATTGGGCGCCCGAAGTCGTCTCGAAATCCTATCCGAATTATGTAAAATGTAGCGCGTGAAATATGAGACGGGGCCGACAAGAAATGGAAGGAGACATGAGCTTTACGATAGAAAATCACCGCTCGCCTCATGCCTACCGCCGCGTGATTTGCCATCATTGGTGAGACAAAAGCAGAACGAAAGATTATCGGCTCTTGTCTAACTCTCATGTCCATCTCATGTGAATAGTTCGGATATGAACCATAGCTCGGACATGAACCATAGCTCAGATACGAACCATGTATTATTATCGACTGTAATGGATTTAGTTGACGTCCACTTTGTCAGGCGGCGCATTAGGACAATGTGCCCGTTAAAGCGAGGTGGCCGCTCTCAGGTTTCTCTCTGGTCATATCTGTCAACAGCGTGGAGGCGATGCGATGCGCATGCGCTCAACGCTGATTGGAGCTGACCGAAGCCGACCGAGCGTGCACAGAGAGACTGAGAGATGTCGTGGCTCGCTTTATCCCTGAAAGTGATACTCCCTCTATGAACATTAACAACAAAATATGAACTACAAAACAAAAGACCACGAAGGTTCTCAGAGGATAACATATATGTCCCTCTGATAATATAAATAATATAAATAAAAATATAAATAATTTAATTAATAATAATTTATTATATAAAAATATTAATATATTCTCTCTTTTCCTTGCTATTATTTATATTATATATTTATATTATATATTTATATTATATGTATAAATATTACATTTAAGTGTGAGTCCAAGAAGCAAATTTCGGATATTCACTGTAAGTCAGCCGCTCTTCGGGCGATCGGGACGAGATTTAAACGGTAGTGCCGCGAAATGGTGTAGAATTTTATGCAAAAAGAACGAAATCGCGTCTGGAAGTCGAGATATAAATTCGCTGTTTTTCGTCTGCGCGCGGACGGTCGAAATCGTGCACGACGCCGCGCATGTTGCCTGCCTATCTCGCGCGATATTCACTGTAACGCGGCGAGTAAAATGGCAAGCCGAATGTAATCGTTCGATTAATTGATTAAATACTTATATATACCGAACGAAAAGATGAATCGGAATGCAATCGTTCGATTAATTAATTAAATATAGATACTACGATCGCGGCGAAGCGGTGGGCGGGTCCCGAAACATGATGGTGGTTTGCGATACATCGCGATTGTTCCGTGATACATCAATCGTTCATAATTAATTAATTTAAAATAAAATATACTTCTATTTAAAATGTCGCGTGTATCTATAGTACGCAAAATATTTCGGCAGAAAATTATCAATTAATATCATATGTTTGGCCTTGACGACGTACAGCAAGCGGCTATACATGTCATAGCTTTGCCATCATTCACACGGTGACACTCGGATATAGAGAAATATTTAACAACATGATAATTAAGTAAAGAGCATTAAGAGCCCACAAACCAATTCGTTTCTTATAATTTATATTATCAGGCGAATATATTTCGCGAGGAGGTCGATGATGCGTTGATGACCTCTTTACAAATCATGTTCTCCTAATAACGCAAGCGTGAAAATTTTCGAAAATTCGTTTCTTATTATTTTATATTATCAGGAGAATATATTTTGCGAGGAGGTCGATGATGCGTTGATGACCTCTTTACAAATCATGTTCTCCTAATAACGCAAGCCCGAAAATTTTCGAAAATTCGTTTCTTATAATTTATATTATCAGAAGAATACATTGTGCGAGGAGGTCGTTGATGCGTTGATGACCTCTTTACAAATCATGTTCTCCTAATAACGCAAACGTGAAAATTTTCGAAAATTCGTTTCTTATAATTTATATTATCAGGAGAATATATTGTGCGAGGAGGTCGATGATGCGTTGATGATCTCTTTACAAATCATGTTCTCCTAATAACGCAAGCCCGAAAATTTTCGAAAATTTGTTTCTTATAATTTATATTATCAGGAGAATATATTGTGCGAGGAGGTCGATGATGCGTTGATGATCTCTTTACAAATCATGTTCTCCTAATAACGCAAGCGCTAAAATTTTCGAAAATTCGTTTCTTATAATTTATAATATCAGGAGAATATATTTTGCGAGGAGGTCGATGGTGCGTTGATGACCTCTTTACAATTCATGTTCTCCTAATAACGCAAGCGCGAAAATTATCCAAAATTCGTTTCTTATAATTTATATTATCAGGAGAATATATTGTGCGAGGAGGTCGATGATTGATCCCTAAAGGGAAAAGAGGGAGCCTGCCCCCGGAGGGATATACCAAGAAAGAGCCCTGGGGTGCTGCCCGAATCTCAACCCCTTATGGGGAAGGGATGGTGGCGCACCCTGGGGCTCGGGGGGCCGGGGCTCGAGCAGGAGACTCGAGCCCCGACCCCGCCATCCTGGAAAACACCGAGGAAGGCGTGGCGTGGAGGTGATGCCCCTCTGCGCCACAACTAGAGCAGAAGCCGCCATACAGGCGGAGTGGGCAAGCCCACCCCCCTCGGGGGGGATCGCCCACGATGTTAGGTCGCGTGGGTGGGGGGAGGACGTCCGGTTGACATCGCTACGGCGCACCCGGTCCTCCCCCCAAACACCCGAGTAGGCATCCGGTGGAGTTTTAGTGGGTATATTGGTCCTTCAGACCAGGAATCCCACATAACCCGCCCTCCCTCCCCGGGGAGTGCGGGTATCCATAAAGGATTTCTCCACCGTTATCAAAAAAAAAAAAAAAAAAAAAAACAAAGGAGGTCGATGATGCGTTGATGACCTCTTTACAAATCATGTTCTCCTAATAACGCAAACGTGAAAATTTTCGAAAATTCGTTTCTTATAATTTATATGATCAGGAGAATATATCTTGCGCGGAGGTCGATGATGCGTTGATGACTTCTTTACAAATCATGTTCTCCTAATAACGCAAACGTGAAAATTCTCCAAAATTCGTTTCTTATAATTTATATTATCAAGAGAGTATATTTTGCGAGAAGGTCGATGATGCGTTGATGACCTCTTTACAAATCATGTTCTCCTAATAACGCAAGCGTGAAAATTTTCGAAAATTCGTTTCTTATTATTTTACATTATCAGAGGAATATATTTTGCGAGGAGGTCGATGATGCATTGATGACCTCTTTACAAATCATGTTCTCCTAATAAC